GCGCTTAGATTATGATGTGATAAAACTCCCTTTCAATTTGCAATAATTGGTACGCTACAGAACACGTATAAAGAATATTTAATATTTTATATTTCTCTTACCCACCAATTCCACCATGTTTTATTATTAATTAATTATCTGTAAAAAAATATGCAATTTGTGTAAAATTTGGACAGAGCTGAAATATTGCGTATTTACACTCTTTTAAGCTTCTTTATTTGATTAGAATAATTTAAAAGCCCGATTTCATCAGGTTCTGAGAATTGGTGTTTTTATAATTCACAATTGGGGGTTGTTTTAAAATTTAAAAAGTTTCAATCCTAGTTTGTTCTGTAATTTGTATTAATCATAAAAAAAAATCTACAATCCTTAGAGGTAAAGGAACCAATAGCAATTCATGCTAAGAGTTAGCAAGCAATACAGACTTACAAAAAACCTATTTTCCAAATATTTTGATGAATATCACTATTATGGCAAAATATGTAAGAGGAATACCAAAAACATAATTGCCAACTTTTACTACTTGGTTTCAATACCATTTACCGGACAAACAATCTCCGGACAAGCAGACCAGCCAAGGAGCCAAAAGAAAACTAAACAGAACGTTATTTAGTAACTCATCAATTAGTCAACCCGATAAAAATATAGAAACTCTACAAAAAAAAAAAAAAAAAAAAAAAACTCGCTGTTATAAGAGCCACTATTCCTAGACTAAGACGGACTCTTTCAGAAACAAGACATAAATTCAAAAGATTCTCAGTTTATAATAAAACTCCAGCAAGAACCAAAGGCGGGGCATTACTTATCGGAATGCAATACCACAAAAGAAGACAGCCGGGGTCAAAGAATGAAAAGCTGTATGCCATATCATTGTATTTGAAATCTCCTTCATGATACAAATACTTATTAAAATCAATAGTTTTGCCTGGTGTTTCAACAATTAGGAAGTGGATTTCATCTAAAGAATGTTTCAAGCCTGGATTTAACAACAGACTTATCCAACAGATTAAATGCAAAGCAAGTAGCATGGAGGAGATGGAAAAGTCCTGTGTACTGATGCTTGATGAGATGGCCATAAAGCAATCTTTGGAGTATTGTGCAAGCTATGACTTGGTTGAAGGGTATGAAGATTTGGGATGTCTCGGGAGAAACAGTAAAGTTGGAAGGCAGGCATGTGTATTTATGATTAGGGGCCTGTATTACCACTGGAAGATGCCGATTGGCTATTTTATGAGTAGGAATGGGCTTACAGGTTCCCAGACATAAATTAATCAAGAAATGCGTCAAATGTTTATCAGATGCTGGTCTCCATATAAAAGCAATAGTCTGTGACCAAAACAGCACCAATAGAACTGCTCACAATTTGCTAGAGGTGGCATGTTCACATCCATGGTTTGAATGTGAAGGAGTTAAAATCTACGCTTTGTATGGTGTGCCACATTTAATTTAATCCATAAGAAACAACCTCCTCACACATGACTTCTGTTTTAACGGCAACACCATCAGTTTCACCGACATCAAAGAATATTTACAATAGACCAAAGCAGTACATCAACTAGAGCAGCTCCAAAACTCACCCCTGCCCATATAAATCCCAATAGTTTTCAAAAGATGAGCGTGTCCCTAGCAACACAGGTCCTCAGCCATACCACTGCATCAGCACTGCGGACAGCTGTTGAAACTGGCCAACTGAAATCAAGAACCGCCCTACACACCGCTGATTTCATTGACTTTATCAACGCTTTGTTTGATGTATTAAATAGTAGAGCTGTTAAAACTAAAAATCCCGATACCTGTGCATTGAGCTTAGAGAATGTCCATACTGTAAACATAGTTAAGAAAGCGATTAATGTGTTTGAAAACCTCAGTAAACTCAACAGCAAGAACCCCAGACCACCTTGTTTTTCTGGAATCCTTTTAACAGCAAATTCAATTCTATCACTACTCAAACAGGAACCGTACAAATATTTACTGACCAGCAGATTGAACCAGGATACCCTTGAAAACCTAAATTTCTAAATTAAATGGTAGGAGTGAAACCATTTGGCATTTTCAAAGAACCAACATTGTCTCTTTTGCATACTGACCCTCCGAGGATATAGAACTATTCCTACTTCGATTTTGACCTAGGACTCTGCCCCACTGGCTTTCAAAAATTGAGGTTAAAGATTTAAAAGTAAATATTGATTGATGGTATCCATGGTAACAAAGAACAAACCTACAAAGTTTAAAAATGTAAACAAGCAGAACTAACTGTCAAATAATGAATTTTGATTTGACAATTCCACACAGCTGGTTCCAACATATTAAATACTGCATGAATATTAGAACAGAAACAGTATGGATCATAAAAATAAATAAATTATGTACATTTGACTTATATTTGGTTAATTTTGTCCTCTTCAACTGTCTTTAATAATCACAGCTGTTAGATGTTATTATTTTTAGCTTATTTGTACTCTTCAACTGTCTTTAAATCACAGCTGTTAGGCTGAGGCTGCTCGAGGCTGAGGCTATAATACGTTGTAGTTTGCTTTTCGGCAGTCGACGAAGGAAGGAATGTAATGTCTCGTTTTGGAACTGGAAGTAAAATCCTTCAATTCAGTCCGCTTGAGGCTTACGCGCTCAAGCGGCGAACTTAAGTACTACTGTACTAGGCAACAGCTGATCGCAAATTCACTTGTTGTTGTTGAGCCGGCCTGGGTGCACAATTTGTTTTTCAGGATTAATTTTGCCACAGTGTCATAGAGGCTTCTGATTGACTATAACGAAGGTTTAGTAATTGACAAATTATTTTTGTTCATAGAATAAAATTATAAATGCCTCAAATTCAATTTTATATTTTTTTATTATGAAATTAAACCGTCATAACCTAACCAAACCAACCAAACGTGCTGACAATGAAAAAATCGAATGAAGGTTTATTAATCGAAAAAATAGTTCTGTTCATAAAATAAAATTATAAATGCCTCAAATCCTATTTTATATTTTTTTTTATAAAGTTAAACTATCATAACCTAACCAAACTAACCAGACTTGCTAATAATGAAAAATCAAATGAAGGTTTAACCGAAAAAATATTTCTCTTCATAAAATAAAACTATAAATGGGTCAAATTCAATTTCATAATGTTTTAATTATAAAATTAAACAGTCATAACCTAACCAAACCAACCAAACTTGTTGATAATGAAAAAATCAAATACAAAAAAATTGAACTGCGGGTGGGATTCGAACCCGGGTCCTTCGGGTCATCAGCTCAGCACTCTATCCACTACACCATCGAGGCCGCTGGCATCAATCGTATCGTTGCGGTAATGATGTTCCCTCAGCCAATCAGAAGCCTCAAAATAATACTGTAGGCAACACTAATCCTGAAATAAAAAATCAGCGGCCTGGGTCTAGTTTTCGTCTGTCGTCTGTCAACAAACACTACTATAGTTCGGCCGCTTAAAAAACGACCTGCGCGCTAATGCTAAACCAATGTTGGAGGAGGTCGCTTTCTAAGCGGCCGAACTATAGTTCTAGATTATTTCATGTTGTCGTCTGTGTTAAATATTCGTAAAATCTGTTAGTTTCACTTTATTCGGTGACATGGATTGCTGTTACTGTTACTGATAAATATATAATGTGAGTGTTTGTATGTACTCCACTGTCATTAAAAATAGGCCTACGTTCTTTGGCCCATAGCCGAAGCTATGGCCAACACATAGGCTTACGAGTAGGCTATTGTGGATGAAAACTGGTATGTTATGGTGTTTGTTGATTAGCAGTACGTTTTTACCCCCCTTAAAATTTGGCACCTCACATCAATTCCATTCAAAATATTTACCAATTACTTACCTTTTTCGGGGTGAGGACCGTGTTCTCTTGCACAGGTTTTAAGTGCAGCAGAACCCTGCATTACAGCCCAAAAGCAATTTTATTTGTTGGAAACATTTATGATGATAAACAAGCCAAATAATTACAAAAAAGCTAATTTCCATATGCATTTTGTTTAATTCTTAGACTATAAATTTTCATTTCAATAATTGATAAATTAAAATAAATTAAGATATTTGTTTCAGTTCCTCAAATTTTATTGATGAACTGTGTTTAATTTTGAACAATTGAATTAACTTTTAATATATTTAATTGCTTTTGGGCTGCCCTCTGCATTTTTACTGAGGTACCTAACAATTACATAACTTCTTAATTTGCCAAAAGGTGCGCAATACTATGGCGCGACAAATTGTAGCATTTGTCAAATAGGTGCGCAATACTGTGGCGCAACAAATTGTAGCATTTGTCAAAAAGGTGCGCAATACTAGGGCACGACAAATTGTTGCATTTGTCAAAAAGGTGCGCAATACTATGGCGCGACAAACTGTAGCATTTGTCAAAAAGGTGCGCAATACTATGGTGCGACTAATTTTTTGTAGAATTTGAAAGAATTTTGCAGTACTATGGCGGTACAAATTGTAGCATTTGTCAAAAAGGTGCGCAATACTATGGCGCGACAAACTTTAGCATTTGTCAAAAAGGTGCACAATACTATGGTGCAACAAATTTTTTGTAGAATTAAAAAAAAAATGTGCAGTACTATTTCGGTACAAATTGTAATATTTGTTAATAAGGTGCGCAATATTATGGCGCACATAATATTGCATTTAAATGCATACTAGTAAACTTAAGTATCTAGTATCACTTTCATAAGGCAAGTCACTTTCATTGGTTGCAAGGTGATTTTTGTAATATAAACGACAGAGATTGCAAAAGAAGTCATAAGTAAGGCTTGTGCCTTATATAAATATACTAACACAAAATAAGTTAATTAAAAGAAGAGATTATAACATTGAAACACTTTTGTATTAAGAAAGAACTACAATAAAATCAAATATAAAGTTTACAAACAGTCAGCTGATCATATGATAATTTTAACATTCAAAGTATAGTTGAGACAGTAATTAGCAGATTCAAATTAATGGCAAAACCATGTAGCCACATACTCCCCTCCCAGTGTCAACGAGGAACGTAACGATGCGGGGGGTGAACACTACGACCTGATCTTGTAAAAATCAGTGTTTTTTTAAGGTCAACATCTTCATTTCTGTCTTTGGTCTTGTCTACTTGAGTTTCTCTAGGTTGCATGTCATTTTTTCTTACGTTAATGGTCGTATCGTTCATAGAATCTTGAAGGAGGAATGCCGGTTTGAGTCGGTTAATAGAAATCGACGTAGGTCCTCGTGGAGTAAGAATAGTAAACCACTTGTCAGATCGCGAAACCACTTGGTAAGGGCCATCATAGACAGCTTGCAACGGTCTTCGGGATGAATCGTGACGAACAAAAACATGGTTGGATGTTCTTAATTCTGGATGAACAAAGACCTTCTTAGAAGAATGGTATTTGGCTTCTATTGGTTTGAGATCATTCATTTTTCTTTTCAGATTGTACACTAAATCAGGAACATTTGTTGAGGTATCTTCTGTAGTTTGAAAAAGATCGCATGGCAATCTGATGGACTGACCTAGTGTCATTTCTGCAGCAGTAACATTGTGTTCTGGAATAATATAAGATCTTAGTCCCAGTAGAACCATTGGTAACGTCTGTGTCCAGTTAGATGTGAGTTGAGCCGTTAATGCAGATTTCAGATGTCGGTGCCATCTCTCGATCTTTCCATTAGCTTCAGGGTGATACGCTGTAGTTTTAATGTGATGGATACCGAGATGTTTTGTTAATTCCTGAAATAAATTGCAGTCGAATTGTCTTCCTCTATCTGTAGTAATGTTTTGAGGAACTCCAAATCTAGCAATCCAGGTAGAAAGAAGAGCTTCTGCAACTGTTCCAGCAGTAATATCCTTGATAGGCGTTGCTTCGACCCATCGTGTAAAGCGATCTATGATAGTTAGCAAGTACGTAAATCCTTGAGAAGGTGGCAAGGGTCCAACTATGTCCACATTAATGTGAGAAAAACGTCCATTAATGTTGTAAGCTCCAATCTCAGAAGTAGTATGTTTCCAAACCTTTGATTTCTGGCAAGCTACACATGCTTTGGCCCAAAGTCTGACATCTTTATTCATGGAAGGCCAAACAAAACGTTGTTTAATAAGGTCCAGAGATCCTTTGATTCCAGGATGTGCCAGGTTGTGAAGGGAGTCAAATAACTGTTTTCTGAACTGCTGAGGAATAAATGGTCGTAGTCTTCCAGTACTTGTGTCACAACACAGCTCTGAGCCATTAGGAAGTAAAATATTTTTGAATATCAAATAAGTTGTGTTTGAGTACTTAAGGTTTTTAAGTTCAGCATCTTGAGATTAAGTTTCAGAAATTTGTTCAAATGATATAGATGAAGGTAGGTCAATAGCACTTATTCTTGACATGAAATCAGCAGGAATGTTTTGTTTTCCTGGAAGATACCTTATGTCGGTAGTGAACTGTCCAATGAAGTCTAGATGACGCAATTGCCTTGGACTAGATGTATCAGAGGGTTTATTGAAGGCAAAAGAAAGAGGTTTGTGATCTGTATATATAACAAAACTTCGCCCTTCAAGGAGATAACGGAAGTGCTTCACAGATAGGTATGCAGCCAGGAGTTCCCTGTCATAGGTACTGTATTTTTTTTGAGTTGTTGTAAGGGATTTAGAGAAAACCCAAGAGGTTCAAAGTTTCCATTACAAATCTGGTGGAGAGACGAACCTATAGCGAAGTTTGATGCATCGACCATTAGAGCTAAAGGAGCATCAGGAGATGGGTGTGCTAGAAGTGTGGCATTGACTAGCTGGCCCTTTGCATCCTCAAAAGCTTTCTTAGATTCTGAAGTCCAAATTATTTTTCGTTTATCAGACTTATGTGTACCCTTACACAAATCAAATAGTTGTTGCTGAATAGCAGCTGCGTTAGGAAGTGAACTTCTGTAAAAGTTTATAAGTCCAAGGAATCTACGAAGCTCAAGAATGGTTTCAGGAAGTTTGCAACTAACAATAGCTTCAACTTTATCAGGAAGAGGAGAAATTCCTTGTTTCGAAACTGTATAACCAAGAAAAGAGATCTCAGTCACGCCAAATACGCTCTTTGACGTATTAATATTAATGTGATGCTTATTAAGTCTATCAAAAATAGTTTGCAAGTGATTAATATGTTCATCATCTGAGGAGGATGCTACTAGAATATCATCTAAGTAACAAAAGGTAAACTCTAGATCATGCAAAAGAGAATTAATATATCTCTGGAAAGTTTGTGCAGCATTCCTTAATCCAAATGGGATTTTTAGAAATTCAAATAATCCAAAAGGCGTTATGACAGCAGTTTTTGGAATGTCATCAGGAGCTACTGGAATGTGATGAAAAGCCCGAACAAGATCAATTTTAGAAAATATAGTTTTTCCATTTAACTGGCTGTTAAAATCATGCATGAATGTCATCAGGAGCTACTGGAATGTGATGAAAAGCCCGAACAAGATCAATTTTAGAAAATATAGTTTTTCCATTTAACTGGCTGTTAAAATCATGCAAATAAGGTATAGGATATCTATCAGGAACTGTTTTTGCATTTAGGGCACGGTAATCCCCGCAAGGTCTCCATGTACCATCAGTTTTAGGAACTAAATGAAGTGGACTGGACCAACAGCTTTTTGAAGGTCTGCAAATGCCTAACTCAACCATCTTGTGAAACTCCTTTTTAGCTACCGCAAGTTTTTCTGGAGGTAAACGTCTAGCTCTAAAGTTCACAGGCTGACCTGTTGTCTGAATTGAGTGAAAAACTGTGTCCTGTGAAACTTGAAAATTAGGATTTTCTTTCAGTAAATTAGGATATTGGTTGATAAGTTTTGAGTATTTACCTTTTGGGTCAAGAACCAATACAGATTGTTGATTTGAAAGTTTTTGAATTCCAATAACAGATAATTGAGTCCTGTTATCGATTAGTCTTTTATTTTTGATATCAACAAGTAAACCATAATGTGATAAAAAGTCTGCGCCAATTATGGGTTGGGTTACGTCTGCAACTATGAAAGACCAGACAAACTTTCTTTTCAAGCCTAGATCAAGTTTTATGTCTTGTTTACCGTACATTTTGATAACAGAACCATTGGCAGCATATAATTGTCTATTACTTACATCACATTTGTCTTTGTTTGTGAGAGGCAAAACAGGTATGTCTGCTCCAGAATCCACGAGAAACTTACGACCACAGGGTAAGTTGGTTACAAATAAGCGGCGAGATTGAAAGCCCCTGTCATCCTGAGCCGCATTTAGTGACGGGGCAGGAAGTTTTTCTGTTGTGCATTCTTTTTTGTTGTGAACAAACAAGGTTGAACACATTTTTTAGCATTTTCACCAAATTTGTTATGATACCAGCAAATTTCACCTTGATCATTTCTCTCTTTAGGATAGTAATTGTTCTTATGTTTGACTGGGAAGTTGCGTTTACTTAACTTAAGAAGTCCATCAATAGACTGAGTTAGTTCGCTGACTTGTTTTTCTAAGTTGGCAATCCGATCACTAGATTGCGCAACATCTCCTTGAGCACAAACGTAGTTGTCGACAGCTGATAGTTCAGCTATTTGGTCACCTAATTTAGCTAAGTCATCAAGAGAATTGGTTTGAGAAGCAGCTAGAGCAGTACGAATGTGACTAGGTAGACGTTGTAGAAAAATAACTTTCAAAAAACTGTCAGTTACCTGTGTGCCTGCTAAGGTTCTCATTTCACGAAGAAGAGTTGTCGGCTTCTTAAGTTATCTCCGAGAAAAACTTCTGTTGTCAGTTGTTTTAGTTTGGCATTTTCTGAAATTTCGTATTCTGAGCAGAGCCTTTCTTTTAAGTCAGAGTAGGGAGTTTGAGACAAAGGTTTGGTAATAAAATCCGAAAGGTGACTTGCAACTTCATTGTCCAGTGAGCTCATTACATAATTGTATTTAGTTCTTTCCTTTGAAATTCCATGAAGAGAAAACTGACATTCAATTTGATGAAACCAAAGTGAAACATTTTTTGATCAAAATGGTGGAATTTTCACTTGAATTGGTGAGATTTGTGAAGCCTCTGGTGTACTAGGAGTTGGAGTAGAATCTTGATTATTCATTATGGTCCAATTGAATTAATGACAATAAAAAGTACAGTAAGGGGTCACCAAATAAGGCTTGTGCCTTATATAAATATACTAACACAAAATAAGTTAATTAAAAGAAGAGATTATAACATTGAAACACTTTTGTATTAAGAAAGAACTACAATAAAATCAAATATAAAGTTTACAAACAGTCAGCTGATCATATGATAATTTTAACATTCAAAGTATAGTTGAGACAGTAATTAGCAGATTCAAATTAATGGCAAAACCATGTAGCCACATAAGTATTACGTTCGAGAATTTTTGGTTCAGCAGGAACATCTAATGGGAGACATTTTTCTTTGATGTGAAACCACCTCAAACATGCAGTACATTTCACACTCTCATTGCCTCGTTCAGATGTGGTACAAGAAGGAAATCTACATTTACACTGGAGGCAGTAGTTAGCCATGTCATTTGAGTGTGCTAACAACATTGTAAAACAGTACGTTCTATAGCTGTTGGTATTGCAATAACCAGCTGATCTCTAGTTGTTAAATATATTATGTTATGATTTCTTAGAATTAACACTATCTTGTTTCGAATTGATTATTTAATTAAAATAGTTTTAATTAATACATAAATGAACGATAGCATTGTGGATCAAAAAATGGATTAACTGTGTTACCTTTCATTAGTTGTTCAATGAAGTACATAACAAAGATACCACAGTTGTGATTGTCTGTTTGTGTAGGATGAAAAACTGATGCTTTAATCCATGACTTTGCTAACTCATTCGATGTCGTACAAGTCAAATGTGACCAGAATTCTAGAAAGTTATGGTATAATCTGTGTCTAGTCGAAGTTTGCACATTGTTAAGCGGATCCATATAGACAAATGTTCTTTCTACCACGTTTGCATAGACGAGTACCCAGTGACAGTTATCTATGTTTACTGGAAAAAACAGTTTTTCAGTGTCCATGGTAACTATACTGTTTCGAAGAAGATAATTATTTTTATCAATTTGTTCTCCACACTGGATCGCAGATGTCCCAATGTTGTCATGATAAATTATTGCACATTTGTTTCCTTTGTTATCTTTTTGAAATACATAACCGATGGCAGATATTATATCCCTGTAGAGCCATCCATTGCTTCGGAGTAAGTTTATGTCATCTATGGAAACCTCAAAATGATCACCAGAGGGTGTTGAAATAGAGCACAACAGGTAATTACCTATGTCATTGTGTGGTACATAGTACTTTTCATCTTTTATTAGTCAGTTGTTCATGACCTTACTTCTTATGATTTCAGCAGATTCAAAAGGCATTTTGAATGCTCTTACAACCTTTGTTTGTAAATAATCAGATTTAAAATAGGTGTGAGCTTTCTTTTGTTGTTTCTTCCATGTTTCTTCGATGTCATCAAAATCACTATCAGAACTAAGTGCAATGGGAAGGTTGACATTCTCTTTTTGTTGTTTGTTTGTTGCCTTCCTTTTGAGACATAATTTTGTCTTTTTCTTCACGTGAGCCTCATCATTGTTCTTTAAAGATTTTGTTTTGGAAACACATTTCCTCTGTCTTCCTCATACACAACCTTCTTTAGGGATATCAAATATTATCTCCTTGCATCTAGACTTAATGAAATCCTTTAATATCCGGACAAACCGATTTGGTCGTAGGTTTCTTTGGTTGTCAAGCAATATGTTCTTCACTTGGTGAAACCAGTTTTCCGCAGGTCCATTACTTAGTCTTTGTTTGATAAAACCATCCTTATAAGGCTTTAACAGTAGTCCAGACCAAAATGGTAAGTATGGTATATATTTGTCTAACAGAACTTTTATCAAATCAGGATTATAGTATACATTGTCTTCAAATATTGCAATATTGTCTTCCTCATCTGTTGAAATACTTGTTGTTTCTGTTAATGCTACATATATTTTCTGCATATCTTGATAGAATGGACTTTTTTTGTACATTGAATCATTTCCTTTTGTCATTTCATCAAACAGGACCAATGGGGCTTTGTCTAGGTCATCCTCAATTACTTCCTCTGGCAATTCATCAATGCTGTTATTACCCTCACACATTATAGAGAGTTCACTCAATGCATGTGTTAAGACTGCAGTTTTTTTCACATAACAAGACAGTTATCAAGTTAGTCACCATTAGCTTAATGGTATCATAATTACTGCAATTAATAATTGTACAAACTACTTGCAAGAACAGTTTTTTAATCATCAATCGCTTTGATTTGCAAGTATTTGTTGTTTTAGATTTTACGTCATTAATAACAATTTTAACAAAATGACAAACACAAAGATGGACTGTGACTTTTGGTTTTACTACTGTTCTTCTCTTCATAGTTGTTTCATAACAATACTCCAAATAACTTGTAACATGCATTTTATTCCACTGTTGCATTACTGCATTTATTATTGCCCAACTGAAGTCTGACACTACTCTTTGACACGGTGGCCAGAAACCATTATCAGACAAAAATCTCCTATACTTCAAAAGCCATACTCCTATTGAATCAGCTGTGTGGTTACATGTTATGTATTCTGAGGCTGGCAATATGAACCCTTTGGTTCTAAAAACAATGGCGTAGTACAAAACCCTCTTGTCTTGACATTGTGGAAGTTTACGTACAACGGACCCAGTAGCATCAACATGTAGCGTAAAATCTGACGAAGCCATTTCAGCTTTTTCCCTAGCCAACAGTTGTAGCACCTCTTTACTGTACATCATCACCTCAAATGGATGTGATACATGTTGAATATATCTATCGTCTGCTGACTTCTCCTCATATTCCCGCATCATAAACAGGTCTAACATTGGGTTTTCATGCAAGTCATCTACAGCTAACGCTTCTGATTTGGCCTTACGATAAACCGAGTAAGACTTGACGGCCTGGGTATTATTCAATTTCAATCCTACAATATCACACTGCTTTACACATTTTAATCTTGTTAGTGACGGACTGGTGTTAATTAAGTTATGCATCATTGTATCTCTAGCAATTCCACTTAGGTTTCTGTTTTTTTTTTGTTTTTTTTTGGGATGGTAGCATTTAGTTGTATTACTATAAACAACGACTTTAATGTCAAGAAAACTACAACTTTGGTAAACAAGTAATTTAAATGTTGTTTCATTATTGTGGCTACAGTAGGATGTTGTAGAAGTAGTCACTAATTATTGTTGGATAAACAGAAGTTATCAATTTCCCGTGCTCATTTATCATTTCATACCATTTTGAAGGTTCTATTGAACATTCGCCGATATTACCATCACATTTGTAATGTCGTTTACAAGGTCGTTTTAATGTTTTTTGTTCAACTGGGGCAACCACAGGAAATTCTATTGTTACGCCGTTACTGTCAACAGTTAAAGGTATTTTTACTTTATCTGCATTGTCATCGTAAACTTGCAATTCAGTAGCTAATTCAGTTGGCAATTCATCATCACTTGGCAATTGAGCGTCAGTTGGTATTGCGTTACATGTACTAATATTTAAATTCTTGTCAGCAGAGAATTCGATTACATTGTTATTATTTTCCACAGTACCGCCTCTACCAGATTCATTATTAACTCCAATTTTATCGTGATTCACCAAGGTGTTAACGTCTGAGGTGAAATCTGATTTTAAAATAAGTTTCTTTTGAGGTGTTTTGAGGTGCGCATAGCCATTAGTGCTGTCCTGGTCCTTAACTAGACTTAGTTCTGCAATAGCAGGTGCATGTCTGTTTAAAAATGATGATACGATTTTGTCATTTTTTTGCATACTTTGAGCCTAAAGTAATTCAGCATACCTTCTATTAATGCAGAGTTTTTATAGTTAAAGTATGCACACTCTTCTTTTGCAACAATACTTCTCCAAATACCTACAGCAATATTGATCTTCTCCTCAATTGAAGTATTTTTCAATTTTAAGGATGCAAGTAAACGTATTACTCTGACATTAGTAGTACCTTTTGTTCCATCAGATTCTTTACTATCAACACTTTCAACATCAATAGAAGATGTAAAATTTTCTTCCTCTTTATAACATTCATTACTCTTACCACCGGCTCTGCTTGTTTCAACTTTGTTACTATCTACCAGAATACATCTATCAACGTTACACAATTTTCTGTCCTCTGTGTTATTTTTTGCTTTTTGACATTTTTTTGCCTTATTTTTCACAACCTCAATCCAATCACCATTATCTGTTTGTTGTTCTTCACTTACTACGGAATTACTAACTAACAGAGTTTACACTGTATTTTTTCAAATTTGAATTTTTTTTCTCAGCGACATCTTCCAAGCATTTCTTATTTGGCCTACTCTTAGCACCCACTCTGGTACTTCTTGTGTCAACATCAGACAATTTTCAGCCCTCTGTATTTTTGTTTGTATCCTGATATCTTTCCACACGCTTCTTAACAACGTCAATCCAATCTCCTGTTTTTTGTTCTTTACTAACTCCTAATTTACATTCCGATTGCACTAAGTGTTTTGTCAATTTATGATGTTCACTGACACTCACATTTAGTGGGGTGATTGTGAATAATGAAGTGTCTTTGAAGTGGAAATTTGCCATCATCAATCTGACCAAAGATGTAATAGATCGGGTTTCACATGCCACTGCTACGCCATCATGAACAATTGTTCCATCTGCAGGATGTCTGTTGTGTGGATCAAATATCCAATAAGAATTTTCTTTCTCTTTCATTAGAGTGACGGATAAAAGCATTGAAGTGAAGACTCCAGCATCATGTTTACTAAAAAAGGAATGCAATTCGTCGTTCAGGTTGTTGCAATGAAGACCAACAATGTTTTGGTAAATATCATCTCCTATAGTTACTAAACTAGAAACCCCTCTTATATTGAAATGTGGTGCCACTTCATCAATTGTCAGGTAAGTCGGCGGAGTCATGTTCTTTAGTTTAAGGACATTTTGCGATTCGATGTGTTTAGAGTTTCCAATCACTAGTATTTCATCTATATCAATTGATGTCCAATTGCGTACAGGAAGCAATTTGTTAATAACTATTGCCGCCACTGCATTGCTTGTGCATTGTGTGTTCCTAACATTACTTGGAAACTGTACACTGTTTTGTGAGAAATTGCCGTGAACAATCTTTCCTTCCTCAGTTGTTGGTTTTAATGTGTGGTTCGAATGTTTTAACATGACTTTTTTGTTATCCGTGTGAAATCGTCTTTAATAAATTGTTGCCTTTCTTCAATAACCTTAAGTTGGCCTACTGCTACAAACTATTACAACTTGTACTTCAATGTCTATATTTTTTTTCAAGTAAAAAGTAAACAATCAACTAAGATTGTGAGATAGGTGATTGGCCTACTCTTAGCACTGACTCTGATATTTCTTGTGTCAACATTAGAAAATTTTCAGCCCTCTGTATTTTTTGCTAAATCGTGATATTTTTTACACGCTTCTTAACAACCTCAATCCAATCTCCTATTTGTTGTTCTTTACTAACTCCTGATTCACATTCAGATTCAACTAAGTGTTGTGTCAATTCATGATATTCAGTGACACTCACATCTAGTGGCGTATTGTGATTAATGAAGTGTAAATTTGCCATCATCAATCTGATCAAAGATGTAATAGATATTTCACATGACACTGCAACGCCATCCTGTACAAATGTTCCATCTGCAGGATGTCTGTTGTGTGGATCAAATATCTAAAAAATTGTTTTTCTTTCTTTCGTTAGAGTGACGGATAGAAACATTGAAGTGAAGACTCCAGCATCATGTTTACTAAAAAAGGAATTTAATTCGTCGTTCAGGTTTTTGCAATGAAGACCAACAATGTTTTGGTCAAATTTTTCTCCTATAGTTACTGAACTGGAAACCCCTCTTATATTAAAAAGTGGTGCCACTTCATCAATTGGCAGGTAAGTCGGCGGAGTCATTTTCTTGTGTTTAAGGACATTTCGCGATTCGATGTGTTTAGAGTTTCCAATAACTAGTATTTCATCTATATCAATTGATGTCCAATTACTTACAGGATGCAATTTGTTAATTACTATTGCCGCCACTGCATTGCTTGTGCATTGTGTGTTCCTAACATTACTTGGAAACTGTACACTGTTTTGTGAGAAATTGCCGTGAACAATCTTTCCTTCCTCAGTTGATGGTTTTAATGTGTGGTTCGAATGTTTTAACATGACTTTTTTTATCTGTGAAATCTTCTTTAATAACTTCTTGCCTTCCTTTAATAACTTTAAGTACCGGTACAAACTATTACAACTTGTACTTCAATGTCTATCTTTTATATCAAGTAAAAAGTGAACAATCAACCTAAAACAATTGAGTGGTGTTAATATCTACATGTTACTATCTACTTAGTGCTTAAATGTAATTTTTAGCCACTGTTACTGCTGTAAGTGTTGATGTTTATAGGGTTTGTGAATGGCGGTTTACAAAAATATAACTACCAAACCAAGGACCATTATAGGACTATTCACACTTTGATACAGACCGTGGGCTTTGCCCCTTTGGCTTTTAAAGTTCTGAGGCAAGGAATTTGAAAGTAAATATTGATTGTTCTTCATGGCTGCAATGAGAATACTCACAATGTTTACATTTGCTTTGACATAATAATGTAAACAAGAACAGTGGCGTGGATACGGGGGGGAATCAGGGGGATATATCCCCCCCTTCAACTTTAATGGGTAAAAAAATTGTAATAACATTTAAAAAATAATGTTTTAACGAATGCAATGAAATAGTGAATCTTTTTGCGAATTAGCTATTACCGTAGGTGGCACGGTAAGACCTAGGCCCGGGACCGATTTACTTTTTCATTTTGATTTCCCCAGAGGCCAAAAACACCATTCGTTCAAATATTTATGTATCTATATACAGATATATATACATATATATATACGTCCGTGAACGCGATAACTTGAGTAATTTTTGTCCAATTTTGATGAAATTTGGTTTAAAGGTGTAAGGCGGGATAAACTTGAATGAGTTTGCGAACTAGCATGATCGGACCATGGGAACGGGGTTTTACGGGGGGTTTTATGGGGTAAAAATTGGTTTTTCTCACTTTTGACCTTCAAAACACAACATTTTCCAATTTCTCTCTAGACCTTTTAAAAGAGCTTAAAAACAAATAATTTAGTATGTTGAAGTGTTTTTGTACGGTTATTGGTAACGGAGAAAATTCAAAAAAATATACATTTAAAATTCCCATGTTATTCTTATGGAGAATATTGGAAAATGTTGTAGTTTGCTTGTTTATTGATATATATTTTGATCAAACTTGGCAAATATATTTATTTTGTAATAAGCTATTAATATTTTACTAAAAAATACACTTTATTTGTTTCCTTGTTGCAGCAAACCTAAGTACTCGTTAGACCTAATGTTATTTAAATAGATTTAATTGAAAATCAATTCAGACAAATGGAAATTCGCTTAGTCAGCAGGTTTGCTGCGGCGGGGGTATTTAATTTTACTTCTATTGTATTACCTTGTTTTTTGTAAGTATACTTTCAATATCAATAAATCGTAAATAAACAGCAATGCCTGTGAAAGTAGAATGGTTTTTGCGCGCGAAACAGAGTACAGACACAAGTCACGGAAGGTCAACGGCCTATCCACCCCTCCCCCTCCCGCCAACACTTCACCTATTACATCTACCTGAAATTATTAATCGTTTTAACGTGAGCAATAGAATAGTTAATCAAGTGTCATGCCTATTGTACTAAGCTTGTTTGTTTGTACGTATACTTTAATTGTCTATGAATAAATGGTAACAGATAAACTACATGCCGGTAGCCGGTAGCAGTGGTGGGGTGGGATATTTGCGCGCCAAACAGAAGTGAGTCACCGGACGTTCCGCGTTCAACCGCCCATCGACAACACCCTCCTCCTCTACCCCGTCACCCACACTACGCTTGATCTGTCGTCTGGTGTTAATTATTGTGCCAGTGTGTTTTAATGATTTTCGTACTCCTTTTATGTCGAAACAAAGTAAACTGATTGGCTTTTTCGGCCCGAAAAGATAAATAATTATTTTTTAATAGGCCAATAGTCACGTTAACATATTAATCAAAATATTCAGTGTTAAAGGATATAGAAACATAACGTTAAATGTTATCATATAACGAAAAGCCTAGATTAGTATTTAAAAAATAAATATAATAAAAAACTAGTCCACCTGCAATTAAAGCAAAAAGTATATTTCATAAGTACAAAATAGCATAAAATGTTATTAAGTATTAACACCAGATTTCACTTCCTGAACGTATAAAAATAGTGTTTGAAGAAGTTATTTTTCTCTAATTTTCCGGGGGAGGACCCCCGGACCTCTTTGAGTCTTTTGAAGGCATCAGAAATTATTACTTTTATCGTTTTACAGTAAAGCCTGTAATATTTTACAATTGCTCGAATTCGAGCAACAGGTAAACTACTTTTTTTAATTTTAAAAAATGAGCAAAGAAGAAAGTTAAGATATGGAAAGAATTTATTATTATAACCTTTTTAACATACCTCATCCCCCAAAAAACGCAACTATACCGAGGGATGATGAAGACTATACCGAGGGGTGATGAAGACTATCCCGAGGGGTGATGAAGACTATACCGAGGGTGATGGGTTTGAATTTTAGTTTTCTCCAAAGTGCATGGGTACTTTGGGATTTACATATGGATGACAACATGATTATGTAAACAAGTATAGGACAAACGCGTTAGGCCTACAAATTAAACAAACTTAAAAAAAACAAAGGTTACAAATTAATAAAGCGTTAAAAAAGCGGGAACAAGAAAAGGCGGGAACGACAATTAACGGTAAATGACGCTACAATTAACAACAAGGGGTAAAATACCTTTTAAAACCGCGTTGCATGATAAAGTTACATTATATTATACAAAAATTTCCCCTCCCCACTTTCCGTAAATGCTAATGAAAAACCACGTTTCCGCGAGTGCGTTTCATAATGTGACTGTGAGGTTCGGGTTGCTCCCTTATAAACAGTTATATTTTCCCCTATATACAATAAATGATATACAAATCGTGTAATCGTTGACCAATAATCACTTTTATCTTGATTTAGTTGTTTTATTCCTACACTAAAGATTAACTTAAACTCACTAATTTAGTCACATTCTGGCTTAAGTTCAACAAGCTTGAAAGTATCTAACCAAACTAGCTAACTACACTAGACTAGACACTAGACCAAGACTACAGGTTTGCTAAGAATTTCTGGCGAAATTTCCCTTCATCCATCATAATTTGTCCCTACAAAATTCCCCCCCCCATAAATTTGTTATAACTCTTTTAAAAAGCTTAAATGATAAGTACGAAATAATTTGATAGTAAATTTTATAATGGAAAACGTCAAATGGTAGTAGTAGTGCATCGGTAGCAACGGTCAGGCGGGCGGGTTGACCTTGAGACCGGGAGAGAATTTTCGTCACCCCAACCCTCTTCACATAGCGCCTACCCGAATCACCGTGCTAGCAGGTGCAGTGGCGGCATACAGGTGGCAGCCCTGATCCCACATGGCTAGAGTTGTCAGGGTTGCCACATCTGATTTTGGAAAAGGCGTGAAGGGCCTCTTGCATCCCCTAGTACTTACATAGGCTTAAAACACGTGCTGAAGGTACCGCAAATAAGACGGGTGGCAACCCTGATATATATCCGTTCCCATCGTTGTCCACGTTTTCGTAGGTACCTAACCTACTAGAGACCTAACCCACCTAGACTACAAGGAGCTGATCTAACAAGACAAGGTAAGCCACACACGTTATGTTATTTTAAGTAAAAGTCGTTAGTGTTACCCTAGTATTAATTCCCTTGCTTTGCAAACTACGTGAATAGTAAATTTCAGCTGCAAATTATATTGTATCAATATTATTCTAGGTATTTAAACTGTTTGTGACATTGGTTTTCATTAGAATTTAAGGGTAAGTTAACACGTGGTTAGTATTACCTCAGATTGATAGCACCTAAGTATATAATACCAAAATTAAAAACACAAGTGTGTAGGTGATATCACGTTGAGGTATGATACATTATCCATATGACCATAACAACCAATTTAATTATTGCCCACCATAACCAACGACAACAGATAGGTACCCAAAGTAAATTTGAATCTATTAAGTTTTCTTATACAAAGTGTTGCCATTCTCAATCCCGAGAACACAGTTTTTGGTAGTTTCAGATATTATTGTTTTGTAATAGTGTTTAAATGGAGTTCTTATTTACACAGTGAGTAAATTAGTTAGTACACAGAGACTAACATTAGTACGTAGGCTAACTAATGAAAATAATGTACGTAACTAATGTACATTACATAAACCTACGTAGGTCTCAAGTGAACACTAAGTTGAGAATATATTATTTTCACAGATTCCGAATGATGCACTAAGTATGGCCGCCTCCAATATATACGTCGTTTCGGAGGAGGCTAGAGCGAGAGCCCGAACAGCAAACCATGTGGCGAGGGTAGTGCCATGGGCCAATGTGATGCTCAAAGTTGGCATGCTTGGTAAGTTTAAGGAAAAATAAGTCGTCAAATTCTTGAAATGTTTTAGGATGGGTCACCCAGTATCTGGTCACCACCCAGTAACTGATCATTTACACTTTAACAGGGTAAAATAGGGCAAAAGCCTTGATTTAGCAGGGAATTTTCATCTTACATCTACACTTAGGTTGGCCACCCTGGATATTTTGTGCATCCAATCAATGCAAACCATCAGCTGGATTAGTTGGAATTTTTTTTTGTTTTCCCTCCAATTTTCTTCAGGCACCTAGTTAGCTGCAGTCACATGTAAGGTAAGTATTTTTTCTTAATATCTCCGAAAATAATTGATGAAATATAGCTTTAAACATATGAAAAATAACCTTCATTTAATGCTCTTTACATCTATATAGTTGGCTAAATGTTTCTATAAGAAATTACTGAGATAATAAGGTTGACCAGTTACTGGATTTCCCCATGTGGATTTTACCAGTAACTGATCACACTGATCTGTCACTGGCATACCATGCTATTGAGTGTCTGGTCACCTTTGACCATTTACAAAATCCCTATACATTGTAGTGTCAGGTCACTATTACTTGTAAATACCATTGAAGGCTAGGCCTATCTAACAGTTTTAATTTTTAATTTAAGTGTTAAGGTGATTTAAAAGCTGTAAGCCTATCCCCATCCATTTGGAACCAAGCCTACTTCCTTCTTTTGATTCAGGGTTATTCGTAAGTAGCCTAGGCCTATGTTTACGGTGACCCTTTAATTTCAGGATGTCTTCTAAGAAGAGAAAACTTCCAGATGGTCCTGGCCCAAGTAGTGGGAAGCAGCCTCGATTTAGATACTCTGAAGAGGCAATGGCCTCGGCCATTAAAGCCGTAAGGGAGGGAAATTCAAAGACACGTCAAGCTGCACGGGAATTTGGAGTTCCCTTTTCAACCTTACAAGCTAAAATTAAGGGTAAACACCCAGAGGGGAGAAGAATGGGCCCTAAGACGGTTTTAACTACTGATGAAGAAAATATTTTAGCTAGCTACATCATAGCTAAGGCTAAAAAGGGGTTTCCCCTTCAGAAACGAACCCTGGTAGAAACGGTAAAAAACATAGTAACGGAGGACCATCGTGAAACGCCTTTCACCAACAACAAGCTAGGCAACTCTTGGATTGCTGGGTTTTTAAAAAGGCATCCTCAAATAACCCAAAGACACGCAGAAGTTATCAATAGAGGCAGAGCGAGTGTTACTGAGGAGAAAATTAGAGCCTGGGGAAATGGCCTTAGGGATTATTTGGAAGAAGAAAATGCTCTGGAAATTTTGGAAGATCCAACAAGGATCTTCAATGCTGATGAGTCAGGGTTCAGAACGTACCCAGACACTGGTTTGGTGCTGGGACCCATTAACTACGAGAATTTCTACATCGTTAAAGATGGCTCGGAAAAAGAAAACATATCGACCCTGGTTACAGTAAACGCCGCTGGAGAAGTAGTTCCACCTTGCATTGTATTCCCTTATGTAAGAATACCTAGAGAAATTGCCCAAAACTGTAACCCAGACTGGAATATTGGTAGATCCACTTCAGGATGGATGACGGGACAGGTATTTTTTGGGTACATAGGAAACACATTCATCCCGTGGCTGAAAGAAAATAAAATTAAATTTCCAGTACTCCTATTAATTGATGGCCACTGATGGTAAACTGTTAACATAATGTAATTCCAAAATTTTTTAAAGTACTAATTTACTCATAGCATAATAGTTGGTGAATTGTATTACAATTAAGTGCCATGATCAAATGCCACAAACTAATGCCACTAATGCCACATACTATACCTAATGCCATATGAGCATTGACACAAACTACAGTTCATTTTATAATAAGTTAAAAATGATAAAAAATGAACTGTTTTGATTTTGATCAACACTTTATGTAATGTTACCACCATTAAATCATAAACATGTAATAGATTTGAAATTTGAGAGTGTCCCAATAATAATTATCTTTTATAGCTATAAAAGAGGAAGTGTATGATAAACTTTCAGGCATTATTAATTATTATTATCATTGACTATTGGATACTGAACTAAAGTTGGGACCACATAAGTTTGCAGTTGGTGGCAGCCAATCACAAGACAAGGCTAGTGCGACGTTGCCACATCGCCCTTTGACAACGCTAATTAAAATATACAAAGCAATATTTTCAAATCAGCTGGTATTATTTGATTTTGATTTGGCAACACCGCACCGTCATTCAAAACCATATGGTAAATAGGCTCCTCCCTCAACTGCAAACTTAGGTGGTCCCAACACTTCCATCTATATGGACCAGCTGTAGCCAATTTTTTATAAAAAAAAGAACACAGTTGTGTGAGCCAGTAACAGAATGCGCTAATGTCTAAAATTATATTTCATAAATTCAATTTTATTCAAAGTTGCTATTCATACGCTGAATATTCAGTTTATACATTTAATTTTCAATATACTACCTACTTACTTGTTATTACTATAATACTTCCTTCAACGTTATTATACCAACATTAGCGATAACAAGAGCTTAGGCTAATCGCCACCGCCACCCTGACACCCAGTCAAACAGCTAACTCCGTGTACCTATGGAAAATGTACAACAACAAAGTAAATGTGTATGCAACCACTGTAAAAAGATGATGTACAAATTTTTAAAGAATGAAGCCTTATTTTTCACAAAGTGTCATGTAGCATACTAATAGGCCTAATACAGATTTCCATTCCAGAAATGTAAGGCGTCAAATTGAGCAGGACCACGAAAGAGAAGAGGAGGAAGGAGAGGATATGGAGGAAGGGGAGCTGAGTGATAGTTAAATTTATTTTTTATTTATGTTGTATACTTTTAGCGAATTTCCCATATAGGGAATAAGCTATTAACGTAGTACTCATGGTAAGACCTGGACCCGAGACCGATCTAATTTTTCATTTTGAGGTCCCTAGAGGCCAAAAACACCATCCGTTCAAATTCATATATATATATATATATATATTTATATATATATTTATATATATCTAATATATAAAATTCTCGTGTCACAGTGTTTGTCTGCAAACTCCTCCGGAACGACTTCACCGATCGTTATTAAATTTTGGTGTGTAAATTCTGTAGGTATGCGAATCGGACGTAAACTATTTCCCGTTTCGAAATTCTTAAAAGGGCTCCGCCCCAGTGGCTCTGGAGTTTCCCATGTTAAGCTTATGAGAAATGGAATTAATGAATCTTAACAGCTGTTTCAATTAAACAAGTTGGTTCTGTTCTATGATGTTCAATAGCATTAAAGTTACAAGGATTACCAACAGGGTGCAGCACTATTATTTCTTTTACATTTATGACAACAGCTAATTTGCAACCAAAAGGTGAGTGAGCGTAGCGAACGAACTTCAACCTGGAGGCGAGTTAGCGTAGCGAACGAGCTAACCCGAAGGCAAGTGAGCGCAGCGAACGAGCTCCAACCTAAAGGTGAGTGAGCGTAGCGAACGAGCTCCAACCCAAAGGTGAGTGAGCGTAGCGAACGAACTTCAACCTGGAGGCGAGTTAGCGTAGCGAACGAGCTAACCTGAAGGCAAGTGAGCGCAGCGAACGAGCTCCAACCTAAAGGTAAGTGAGCGTAGCGAACGAGCTCCAACCCAAAGGTGAGTGAGCGTAGCGAACGAACTTCAACCAGGACGTGATTGAGCGATGCGAACGAGATCATCTTGAAAATTAAACGTAACGGTACTTTCTTTCCATCGGTCTGTCTTAGGGGAAACCTATAACTTAGGCGATACGAAGTTCGCCGGGTCAGCTAGTATATATATATATATATATATATATATATATGTGTCCGTTAGCGCGATAACTCGAGCAAAAATGATCCGATTTTGATGAAATTTGGTACAAACGTGTAAACCTACGTTTATTCGAACGAGTTCGCGATCCAGCATAATCGGACCATGGGAACGGGGGTTTATGGGGGGTTTTATGGGGTAAAAATGGGGTTTTCCCATTTTTCAACCTAAAAACA